CATTATTAATATATTTTGAAAACTTTTCGATCAGTATTCATCCGAAGTTCAAAAGTGTCCCAAGTAACCCGGTTTGACGGTATATGTAGTTTTCATGTTTTCTTGCCAACGTGAAGGTTAGTATATTATATAAAAAAATATAAGGTGTGAATTGCAGTAATTAAACTTGGTAATACATATATATATATCTTATATAATATAACGTTATATGTATGTTTTAAGAAATTGACATTGTCTTAACAATCGACACACCAAGCTCCTACTAAAACTCTTAGCTTTCAAATGTCTATCAAACTACTTATGTATATATATATATATTTAATATTATTGATATACATATTTTAACTAATAATGAAAGTATGTGCATTTTCATAACAGTCTGATGTACCTATATTTATTGTACATTACTTTTGCTTAGGTAGGTAAATTTTTAAATTATTAAATTAAATAATAATTACATTGAAAAGGATATCTATAGATATGCATATAATAATATGGTAGTATAATGCAAAGAAAAAATTTTGAAAAAAGAAAGGAAAAAAATCATTTTTTGAATATTTGAATCTCAAGCACTTGAACCATTTCTGAGTTTTGCGTTTCCATATGGGTTATTGAATAATACTGAAGGCAACATGTATGGTCGTACTAAAGTAAAAAAAAAAAAATGTAATTTTCCAAATGTACTTATTAATTACTGCATTTTTACTACATACATTTTAAACACAATAAAGTTTAAATTTTAATATACATAACGTTAAACACAATAGTAAATAATTATATATATATATATAATTAAGTTTAAAAAAGTAGAATGTAAATGATACTTATGTATTTATTAATACAATAATATGTATAAATCATGTATAATACATTTTTGCATACCAACGACATAATAAAAATATTACAATATTTTAAGCATTGGAGGAATTTAAATTCAATTTATTATAATGTTATAACACATAATAATGTATATATTATGTAGTTTTCTTGTTTTGAAATTTGTTTGAAATATTGCAAAAAATTAATGTGTGTAACCCAATGTAAAGGTTAGTACAGGTATAAGGTATGAATTGAAGGAATTAAACTTGGTAATGTACCTATATTTATTGTACATTACATTTGCTTAGGTAGGTTAATTTTTAAATTATCAAATTAAATAATTATTACAATGCAAAGGATATCTATAGATATGCATATAATAATTTAATATAATAATATGATGGTATAATGCAAAGAAAAAATTTTGAAAAAAGAAATGCAAAAAACATTTTTTGAATATTTGAATCTCAAGCACTTGAACCATTTCTGAATTTTGCGTTTCACATATGGGTTATTGAATAATACTGAAGGCAACATGTATGGTCGTACTAAAGTAAAAAAAAAAATTACTTATTAGTTACCTACTACATTTTTTACTACATACATTTTAAACACAATAAAGTTTAAATTTTAATATACATAACATTAAACACAATCATAAATAAATATATATATAATAAAGTTTAAAAAAGTAGAATATAAATTATACTTATGTATTTATTAATATAAATCATGTATAATACATTTTTGCATACCAACGACATAATAAAAATATTACAATATTTTAAGCATTGGAGGAATTTAAATTAAATTTATTATAATTTTAAAACATATATATAATATGTATTATGTATATGTAGTTTTCTTGTTTTGAAATTTGTTTGAAATATACTGCAATACTCATGAAAAATCCATGCATTCAAACTACTTATATATTTTTAATATATTATTGATTGCGGCTTCCACCACAACGACCGGAATCGACTTAATTTACATAGTAGGTACGATATACAGCTTTTAAAACCAGCTAAAAGGTATGCTAATGTTTTATTTTGTTTTTTAAATATTTAATTAGTATTAAAATAAGAGGCTTATTATTTTGTAATAATTTTTTAATAGTAAAAGGAGTTTAAAATTATTTAGTTGATAAAACTGGAGTTACATGTTTTTTTTTACATACAAATAATGTTGTATGACCATAGACTAAAACAAGTTATCTCCAAAAAAGTCTAAGCAATAATCCGGTAAGTCAATTACTATGGAGTTATCAATTGTTCGCTTAGTACTCCGATATTTGATTTTATGATAAGTCCATTTTCTCCTTAAAATATTTAAAAAAGTTGAAATTAAAAGTGTTCAACCAATTCTAAATGTAAAATTAGATATATCGGCACAAGTTGTAATACAATTTTGTATAAACGCTATTTTTAGGCTTGATTTACTATTAAAAACGTTATTTGTTGTTTCTCAATAATTATGTTGACTGGAGTTATCCTGTTTTCGCTTAGCACGGCAGTATGGCCCCAAATCAGTAAATCAGTAAATCAGCAGATCAGTAAATTAGATCGACCCGTACCTATATTTATTGTAATACAGTAATATATGAAAACATATTTATTAAAATGTAGGAAACGGTTGGTTGGTTTACTACAATATCGATTCTAGAAAATTTTTGAAGTTTACAACAATCATCTGCATATGAGCCCAAAACAAAAAAGGTGGCCAAAACAGCCATACAGAACGTACCCACGCAAGATTAGTGTTAATTATTACACCAGTAAACACTAACGTATTCTCAATACTAGTGTAAAACAAACAAAACAACGATCAAAATACATCTCGTCTATTCACAAATCCATTATAAAGTAGAAATCATACAATAGTATAGTTTGCTTAACTGCATGTTAACATTTTATAATTTTTAATTTTTCTGCGTAAAACATTTACAACAAAAAATACTGTATAGGGAAAAGTAGACACGGGAAATGTAACAGTTTGGCTACACTGCTTGGCCGGCTGTTCTGCCTTATAGGTTATATTTTGTATTATATTAAATTAATTATGTTACTAAGAAATGTTGTAAAAGCACATTTACTTATTGTTCGGTTCTCTATGTAATAAAGTACTAAAGTGTCATTACTCAGGTGTCATGTGTGTAATTATTATTTGGTTACCTCTTTAATATTGTACATTGGCGACGAAGGCAAAATGGTAAACTTTTTATTATAAAGTACGTTAATAGTGGACATCGAAGTAATGGCTCCAGACAAGTTCCACGTGTTTGGTAGTATTGGTACCGTTTCGGAGTTTGAAGCGACGGATGATTGGAAATTGTACCAGGAAAGGCTGGAACAATATTTCCTCGCTAATGCCATTGAAGAAGGAAGGAAGGTTCCTGTATTACTGTCAGTAGTTGGATTAAATACTTACAAAATAATTAAGGATTTGAGTGATCCGGTTTTACCTAAAGATAGACCGTATACAGAAATTTGTGATTTGTTAAATGGTCATTTTTCTCCAGCAGTTTCGGTATTTCGAAAACGTATAGAGTTTTATAATCTTCGACAAGGTGAAGTTGAAACTTGTGGAAATTGGTATGCAAAACTGAAAAATGCAGCCATCGAGTGTAAATTTGGTGCAAAACTAAATGATGTACTCAAGGATAAGTTTGTATCTGGATTAAGAGCAGGAAAAGTGTTGGACCGGCTCTGTGAAGAGGATCCTGAAACAAAAACGTTAAAAACTATGGTCGAACTGGCGCTGAAGTATGAATCAACGGTTGTTAATTCAGTCAGAGACATTAACGTTGTGAATACTTACAAAGGCAAAAATTACAGACACTATGTTGACAAGAAGGCACCTAAGAACTATAAGAACATGGGCAATGAAAAAGCGACGACAGCTACAACAGGAGCAGCGAAGCTGGGACCGTCTACTACAAGTAAAGCAGCCTGTTTTGCATGCGGTAAGAGCAACCATACATTTTCTGAATGCAGGTACAAGGAGTTTATTTGCAATGTATGTAAGACCAAAGGTCATTTAGCAAAAGTATGTAGGAGTAGGAAAAACAGCTATAAGGTTAAGTCTAATAATTATGTTAACTCTGAGGAAACTCAGAAATTGGATAGCTTGGGTATGGATTTTATTAATATGTTTAGTTTAAATGAAGTTAATTTCTGTAAACCTTTTATAATTAAAATGTTAGTTAATGGGGTACAGTTAGAAATGGAACTAGACACTGGTGCAGGAGTGTCAGTTTTACCAGAAAATATTTTAAAAGGAAAATTAAGAATGTATGAAATTAAACCTACCTTTGTGAAACTCAAGGCTTATGATGGAGCAATAATTGAACCGATTGGTGAAGTGGAAATGTGTGTCGATTATAAATCAATAAAAAAAAAGTGTAAGTTTTTGGTTGTTTCAAGTGATAATAAACCGTTGGTTGGTCGAGATATCATGGCAGAGTTTGGCATTGGAGTTAACAACCTGATTAATGTTAACAGTAGGAAGTTAAATTTGGATAAGTTGTTACATGAATTTAAGGATATTTTTAGTGAAGAGATTGGTACTTACAATTTTGAAAAAATTAATTTGAAGCTTAAGCCAGATTCAAGTCCAGTATTTGTCAAACCAAGAACGGTTCCTTTTGCGTTTAAAGTTAAAGTAGAAGAGGAGTTAAGTAGATTAGAGAAGGAAGGTGTCATTACCTTAGTGGATAATAATGATTGGGGAACACCCTTAGTGCCTGTGCTAAAAAATAATGGAGAAATAAGAATTTGTGGTGATTATAAAACTACAGTGAATAAGTTTTTAGAGGATGTTAAGCACCCTCTGCCCAAGGTAGAAGAGTTATTTGTAGCTTTACAAGGTGGAAAAACTTTTTCAAAAATTGATTTTAGAAATGCGTATAATCAATTGGTGTTAGATGAAGAGACAAGTAGACTTCTGGCTTGGAGCACACATAAAGGAATTTATTTGGTAAATAGGTTGCCATATGGAACCAAGCCAGCATGTGCAGTTTTCCAGAAAATAGTTGAAAAAGTTTTGCTTGGTTTAAAGAATACAATGAATTTTTTGGATGATGTAATAGTAACTGGTGCTACGGATGAAGAGCATACTGATAATTTAAAAGCAGTTTTTAGTAGGCTAAAAGAAGCAGGTTTCCGTGTGAACTTGAGTAAATGCAGTTTTTTCAAGAAGAGATTCATTACTTAGGTCATATAATATGTGCTAAAGGTCTTAAGAAAGATAAGTCTAAGATGGAGGCGATTAGGTTAGCCCCTAGACCACAAAATGTGCATGAAGTAAGAGCTTTCGCAGGCATGGTAAATTACTATGGTAAATTTATTAAAAACTTATCAGGTTTAATGGAACCCATTTATCAATTATTAAAAAAAGGACAACAGTTTATTTGGTCTGATAAATGTGAGAAGGTTTTTTGTAAAGCGAAAGAGTTAATGTGTTCGGATGACATTTTGGTGCATTATGACCCTTCTTTGGAACTAGTATTGAGTTGTGATGCTTCTCAAAAAGGCATAGGTGCAGTGTTATCTTGTATTTTACCTGGTGGCATAGAAAAACCTGTTACATACATATCAAGAGTTTTAAATGAAACGGAACAAAAGTACTCAGTTATTATCAAGGAGGCGTTGGCAATTTTTTGGGCGGTTCGAAAACTAAATCAGTATTTGCTAGGAAAAAAATTTATTTTGAGGACAGATCATAAGCCATTGTTGGCAATATTTGGAGAAAAGAAAGGTATACCAGTTATGGCAGCGGGCAAGTTACAACGTTGGGCTATGTTTTTAGCTGGTTTTGATTATAATATTGTTTATATTAAGGGAAGCGAAAATGGTGCGGCTGACGGATTGTCTAGACTTCCTTTAAAAGTGAAAGAGGAGGACTTAGGTGAAGATTATTTGAAATTTGTCGAAAGGTCCTGTCCTATTGATGCTTGCATGATTAGAGTTGAAACAAAAAAAGATAGGATTCTAAGTGCAGTTTTATCAGTTATTAATGGCGATTCGGTGTTAGAAGAAATCTCAGCAGAAATGAAAACCTTTATTAATAAAAAAGATGAGTTGTACGTTGAAGAAGGAATTATTATGTGGGGTTATAGAGTTGTCATACCAAAAGTTTTACAGGAAGGATTACTTAATGAGTTACATGGTGCACACATGGGTGCAGCTAAAATGAAGAATCTGGCTAGAACTTATTTTTGGTGGCCAAATTTAGATAAAGATATTGAAAAGTTTGTTAGTAGTTGTATTTTATGTGTTGAGGCAAGACCAAACCCACCATTAGCCAAGTTAATTAAGTGGCCAGATAGTGTTGGTGTCTTCGACAGAGTACACATTGATTTTTTGGGTCCAGTCTCTGGAAAAATGTTTTTTATTTTAACTGATGCTTTTTCTAAGTGGCCTGAAATTTATGAAATGCCTAGGACAGATGCAAAATTCATGATAGACAAACTCAAAGATATTTTTGCAAGGTATGGTTTGCCAAATAAGATTGTGTCTGATAATGGTCCACAGTTTGTTTCGGCAGAATATAGAGAATTTTGTCATCGTAATGGTATTAGAGTGATAACTTCACCACCGTTTCATCCATCTACAAACGGGGCAGCCGAGAATGCTGTTAAAACTTTCAAAGCTTGTTTGTTGAAGTTTATTAAGGACAGTAGTAAAGGCATGTCAGTTAGTTCTGTGATTAGTAGGTATTTATTTAACTATAGGAACACACCGCATTGGGTGACTGGAGAATGCCCTTCAATGTTAATGTTTGGCAGAAAAGTGCGTACTAGATTGGATTTATTAAGGGAGTTCGGAGGTAGAAAGGATGATCAGTTTAAAAATTTCAAAGGAAAAAGAGAAGTAGAATTCGAGGAAGGTGAAATGTGTTTTGCCAGGGATTACAAAAATCCTAATAAGAGATCTTGGAAAAAGGGAGTAGTTGAAGAGGTTCTTGGAAAAAGAATTTATTTAGTTAGGATACTAGAGAGTAATGTGGTATGGAAAAGACACTTAGATCAAATGATCAAGTCTGGTGACTTCTATAGGAACCCAAGTGAGAACATAGATTATGAAAATGAACTAAATAGTGATGTGGGTAAACAATTAGATGATGAATTAGAGAAGGAAATAGTAAAAGAAAAGTTGGACTTAGTACTAGGTGAAGCTTCAGTTGAGACTCCTAAGAGTGTTGAAATTGGTAGATGTGAGAGGCGACCTGGACTAAGGGGAAATATAAAAAAAATAATTAAGTTAGATCTATAAGATTTTAAATGTGTATTATGATTAATATTATTATGTTATTTTTTTTATTGTATTAATTATATTATGTTGATTATATCTGTGTTATGATTATGTTATTACTAAGTACAAATCTTAGGGCAGAGATATGTAACAGTTTGGCTACACTGCTTGGCCGGCTGTTCTGCCTTATAGGTTATATTTTGTATTATATTAAATTAATTATGTTACTAAGAAATGTTGTAAAAGCACATTTACTTATTGTTCGGTTCTCTATGTAATAAAGTACTAAAGTGTCATTACTCAGGTGTCATGTGTGTAATTATTATTTGGTTACCTCTTTAATATTGTACAGGAAAAAAGTATTACACTAGAATACTAGAATGAGCATCACGATCATAAAATAAGTAAGGATAACGACCTGTCACTCTGCCAGTGGACAAAAAGAATAGGTATGGTTATGGGGAACGGACGAAATGGAACGTTTCATAGTAGACGCGCCAACGACACTATCGCCGAGAGCGGTTTAAAGTGCAGACAATATGGGAAATTTCATGCGTTGATTTCATTGGAAACCGTTAGAAACTAACGCCATTTATTTGTGGTATACTTTTAAAATACTACATGTTTAATTATACATGCAGCATAGGAACTTTAATATTCTATTGGATGTTACCTTTATAATAATAATTAATATCTTTGATTTAGTTTAATACAACAAGACTTTTATTTAATAATTACATCATAAAATATTAATTATGTGTTGAGCATATGCTCGGCTAACACAGTGATACATACAACATAATTGAATAATGAATTACAGAGAGAGAGAGAGAGAGAGTGAGAGGGTGTGAGAGAGAGATTTAGGTTATGTACAAAGAACGTAATAATACGAGCTTAGACTAGTAGGTCTGGCGACTAGTGAACTTATAATGTGCCTTTATTGTCCAGGATCCCGTCATGTGGCGCGCTCTATTTGTGAAACTTGGTAGTCGAAATTTAAGCCACTGCAATATAATATTAATATATTAACCATTATTAGGCATATAAATTAATTATATTAATATATAATTATATTTTTATTTATATGTCTATGATATTAACACATACTATACCTACATGATATAGTATTTGATATTAATCAAGATTCTAGACAATTAATTGAGCTGTGCAATTTTTATACGTTCATAATTATTTTTTTAACTGTGATCTTAAACTTATAAGTTGTAACAATGCCAAAACGATGTTCATTTTGCAATTGTTCTACTTTGAATGTACCTACATTTCTTGTCACTAAAAAGAGCATTGAAAGTTGGTCATCAAAAACAAACAAAAATGTATTTATTGGTGATAGAGTATGTCAATCCCATTTTCCTCAAGCAGTTTTAAAAACTCAGGCATTTTTTCAAGTTCTGAACGATGGCAGATGTTCAAAATTGTGATTGAAACGTCAATGGATTAGGCCTACGGGGATACAACTCTAAAAAAGACCAACGTTGGGCACAGACGCCGGCCAAGTGGATTAGTCTATTGGGATACTAATCTAAAAAAAAAAAGACCACCGTCCTGCGCGGACGCCGCACACGTGAATTAGGCCTCTTAGGAAAACCACGATAAAATAAATTCACCTTGTGCTGGTAGTGTGGAAATCAGCAACAATTACTAAACAGATTATCGTGGAGGGCCGTTTACAAAACAAATTTTAGTCTGTCCCTATTATTTCTATGGACGTGCAGGATTGCTAGCCAGACCTCACTGTCCCTATCACACTGGTATTTACTAAGCACGCTAGCTGGTTTTTGATCAGCACAAATTCCGTTAGTGATTGTCGGCGTGCAATAATTGATATTGTATTTCGGAATTATTTAAATTTTCAAAATATTCACCCTAAATTCTTCCCAGGATGGGTCGAGTGTTTTTATAGACGTATCACGTATAACAAGCAAACACCGTTCCTTTTAACTGTAGTTCGACCTCCCTGCACCAACCCGAGGGGTGTTAGGCAAGTATCAACTCGGTGTAATCTATAAACAGTACAGGATCCTCGACACTTGTTGCCGGAGAACTCGGGTAACGAAACTCTTTTTGTGCGCCAGTCCTCGTATGGTATTAGTACCGATTGTTAATGTGCGCGTGCATCGTATAGAGAACAGTGAGACGCGCCTGCTGTACGACTCGAGTGGTTGTGGAGTTTTTCACGCTTGAAGAATGGTAATTCACGGTGGCTAAGTGGCTGGCACCCGATTGAGGGAAGTCTCCATTATAATCGCATGACCTGCCCAACTGGTAACTATCGTGGGTACGAGCTGTTGTACGGGGGAGGAGTGATTAGAAAACCGAGGGATCGTATGGTCGTGTGACGCTGTGTGGTTGCCGCACGTGATTCCATGAAGAGCCGCGTTAAGGTCCATTCCCACTAATCCGGGCCGGAATCCGTTGGGGTACGAAAACAATTCTATAATATACATTTTAATTGTGAACATTCAAATTTATCCGGGCTGAAAAAATATTGTTCCGACAATTCTCTCTTAGGGTTGACGGACTGGTTTCACCCGGATCGGGTATGTCCTGAACAGTGTGAACGATAAACCGTACCTGGTTTATAGTGTCGGGGATGTTTTTTTTTAATTTGTATACAAATCAGGAATGTACAGTGAAAAAATACAACAACTTCAATCCACAGTGCCTGAAATAATAGAAGCCCTGACAAATATATCAGAATGGAATGAATTAGATTCATCATTTAAATCCAAAACTCTTTTAACAGCTATGTGTACATGTGAATTTATCATTTCAATTAAGGCCTTATCTAGCATTTTATGTATAACAGCTCCTATAAGTAGAATACTTCAAGGCATTGACAATGATATATTAGCTGAATTTGAATGTATACAAAATGTAGTAACCATTTTGGAAAATATGCGTACAAATTGTGATACAGTTTTTAAGAAATTATTTGAAGAGAGCGTTCATTAGTGAAAGACTTTGAAATGGAAGTAAAAAAACCAAGATTATCCAAACGTCAAACACAAATTTCTAATCACCCAACTGAAACTACTGAAGATTTTTATAGGGTATCTCTATTTATACCATTGATGGAAAATGTATTAGAAGATTTTAAGTCACGGTTTTTGAATAAACAAAACCAGACAGTACAGTTTTAAGTCAACTAATACCAAAATTTATTGTTGATGTAAATGACAAAAATATTGACACAATAGTAGCAACCATAAAAACAGGGTATACATTTGATGATGACTTATTGAAAGAATCCCAATTAAAATCAGAAATACAACTGTGGAAAGAAAAGTGGAAAAAAATAAAAAATGATGGTAATTATGTATTAATTTACTAGTAATCAAATATTTATATTACTATTATGAAATGATAATTATGCTTTGATTGTGTTTCAGATGGATATGTAATAAAAGATGCATTAACAGCTATTGACCAATGCAATGGTATACTATACCCAAATATTAAAAAAATTTTGTTCATTATTGCTTGCTTGCCTGTAACCGTTGCCTCTGCTGAACGTAATTTTTCGACACTAAGAAGGTTTGATCATACTTATTTCATTACATTTAAACTAATATAACACAACATTTACATGAAATGTGTTATATTAATGGGTTTTATCATTTACACTAGCGTAACTACATAGCTACTTATGCTAACATTTCTTAAGAAATATTTCACTTTAAAATTTAAGTCATTAATCAAGAAAAAGAATCAAAAGATTATTTATAAAATAACAAAGTTATGTTATTATATGACCACATATTACTGATAGTTTTTAAGTATAATTTGAATTAATAATTCATAATATAATTTTCTCCAAATAGTGACTTGCTTATTTGCTTATGCATGATAATTTTATTATTTTGTTATGCTTTGCATTTTGAACTTAGGTTAAAAACTTGGTTGCCGTCGAGTATGGGGCAAGATCGCTTAGTTGGATTGCCTTTGCTGAATATCCATAGGCACAGGATCATTGAAGTAGACGAGTTGATGGATATGTTTGCTGCCACAAAAAATTAGAAATTTAGACCTTATCTTATAATCAGTGGCGTATTTACGGTGGGGGGGTCCAGGGGTACTGGACCCCCCAAGAACCTCTCATAAAAAAAAAAAACACTAAAATTCTTACATATTTGCAGAACCCGATTTATGTAAGCACGCGCGGTCGAGCGGAGATAGTTTTTTCCCGTGAACAAAATATAATTTAAAATTAGTTACACCAATATTCACAGGGATATTGAAATCACTGTTGATGAAGTGATAGAGGAGTTGGCAAAAAAATCTAGACGTCTGGAATTTATTTTATAACAATACTTTTCATATGTAGTGCTAAATACAATATATATATTAATATATATAATACTAGCTGATCCCGTGCACTTCGTCGCCCGTTAAATGGATCAACTCAATACTACCTACTCAAACTTTGTTCAATTCATTAACGTGTATGGTGTTCAAAATTTATCTTATCTTTCCCGTTGCCCTGAATAAAAATTCTGAATCGCAGCAGTACATTATCAGGTAGGCAATCTACCTGCGGTAGATCGCGGACCCCGTGCTGTTTGTACGGAAGTGTATGATTTAACTCTAAAGTATCAAAGTTATACCAAGTTTATAAATTTGGTTGCTCGTAAAAAATTCGCAACTCTTAAAAAATTATGATTGTTGAACTCCTTTTGGGTGTAATTTTCTGCGGTAAGTGCAACTCTGCCACCCTGGTAAGCATTGTTCAATAATTCGATTTGATGCAAGCTTGTACCTGATCTGCCCGAATAACCAATGGCAACCAATAAATAAATGCTAATTTCTAATGTAGACTGTAACCAATGGCAACTATAAATAAATAAAAATAAAATTTCCAATTTCTATCGTGAATCTCAATGTCCCTGTTTCAGCACCTATTTAAAATGCGAATTTTGGCAAATCCTTTCTTAGCGCACGTCTATATTATAATAGCTATCTGTATGCCAAATTTCAGCCAGATCCGTCCAATGGTTTGAGCTGTGCGTTGATAGCAGTCAATCAGCTTACTGTTTTTTATATACAGATATGGTTGCCATGGTAATATGGACACACACACACACACACACACACACACACACTGACATACATTCATTTTTATATATATAGATTGATATGAAATCTTGGTAACCTTAGTAACCATGGCAACCTTGGTAACCATGGTAACATGGACACACAGACACACAGACACACTGACACACTGACATACATTCATTTTTATATATATAGATTACATAAGACTTAGACTATACTATTATATATTTTGTTCAACTACCTCCAAAAACTTCATAAGGACGTAACTATTACAAGATATCATAGTTTATATTAATTATGTATAAACTGAGGACCCCCCAGAAAAATTTGAAAATACGCCACTGCTTATATTTAATTATCATGACTAAATAAAAAAAAAAAAAAAAACTGGCGTTCAAATTGATTTATTTTGTAACCGTGAAAGATTTTTGTATTTTTCCCCCCTTGAGAAATTATCCCAAATACGCCACTGCGAGGTCTGTCCCGGTTATCCCCAATGCGGCTTCTGCCACTTGTATACACCATTGTGAGGCATCAAGGGTCGTGGTACACACATACACACCGGCACTCACTGAGGAAAGTGTACCAATCCCTCCGTGCGAGCACAATCTCAAATGTGGAAATATTTTCTTACGATGCTGCATGAAGGCCAAGCAATGTGCAAACAGTACGGCCCTCATGTAGTGGTTATATATGGAAAAAAAAAAGGTATGGAAAAGCTTGATAAGATGATGGTTTATAAGTAATAACGTTATAAATATAATGTATAATATACGATATATCTAATTTTATAGAACAAATGCATGCGAATAACATACCGAATATTTACGTAGAGAATATTGCAAAATTTTAAATTAGTGGGGTTGGTGAAATGTATGTATGAAGTTTATAAGAAGAAAATCAATATAAAACTATAAGAGAAACATGTAGAAATCAAATTATAATTTTCATTTTAACAGATTTACTGTATTAGCTCATCATTTATACCATAATTTGCTAGATGGTACCTATTTCAATATATCAGTAAAATGTTTGGCTTAAGAGGACGCCACAAGAGCATTTGTTGTCTCCTCTTAGAAACACAACATGGCAAACTTTACCTTCACAATAATACATTTAGTAAAATGTATTACTGTGAACGTAAAATTTGGTATGTTCTACGTCTGTAAAACGGAGAGTGGAGACAATGCATGCTCGTGTGGCGTCCTCTTAAGTAGTTACAATATCTGAAACAATCGCTGAGTCATGTCTGACCAAAAAAAAATCCATTAAACGGCGAGTGCTTGATTTCCGGGAACAATTCATACAGCTCTTCAAGTATTCTCGGTCGCGGAACACTTTGCAGTTCAAAGCTGGCATCTGCCTTACCGGCTCGATCGAATGTGAATTTATTTAGTTCAACCATTGGTGTCAAATATCTGACAATTGGACGTACAGTATGCATATCCACTGGTGATCACTATGTAATTTCAGTCCAGCGTCTTTTTAAATCATTTCAATTGGTATGACGCCTTGCAGTTTTAAATTGGTACACTGGCTTTTGAAGTTTTGAAGTCCGGCACAATTTAAATTTACTTACACGTTTTCTTTTGATACCTATGCGTGTTGAATGTTATAACATGAACATATTGCTTGAATAAATAATGTAAATAATAATATGCAAGGTTCTGTCGTCATAACTAGGTAACTTAAAATAATATTGGGACCTACCAACTCAAAAATACCCGTTGCTATAGTAAAAATTTGACATTCGTGTTAGGAGCCAGAGGTGCCTATTTAATAAAATTGTTGTTATATAAAGATATAAGTTATGCCAAATATACCGAACATTTACGAACCTTTGTCGTTGAGGGGAGATCGGTTGCGTTTTGGTTGTTAGTGAATTATATCGTTTACAAGTTTTTTTTCTTTTTATTACAAATTAATATGTTTATATTATTATTTCATTTGTTTCTTACCAAAACTGTTAACAAAAAAAAAAAATGATTTAATTTGTTCGTGTTTACAACTCATCAGGTACGTTTAAACATAGGCGCAACTAGACATTTTAATTAGACTGGGCCACTCATGAGAGTCATTTTTCACCTATCATACTCAAATGAAATAAGGGTGGAGAGTGATAAATGGAACATTAATGTTTTTTTTTATTACAATACAACTGTATAACATAGGTAATTATTGATGTTATAAATCTAAAATTGTATCACTTATAATTTATAAAACTAAAATGTTACATGTGAAATACAGATACTAATAATATTTAAAATTGTATCTTAAAGTTAAGACTTATAAAGCTAAACGACGTTCATATGGGACCATTCTTTTAAATTCTTCGATCACATCATTAATGTCGACATTTTTTGCCATGGTTTGTTCAATATATGGAAGCATTAAATTTTCCAATCGCCCTTGAGTCATTGTCGTCCGTAGCTTAGTTTTAATATGTGTTAGCTTCGAAAAAGCTCTTTCACACGAAGCACTTGTGGCTGGTATGACAGAGAAACCTTTTAATACTTTTCTATGCTGAAAAAAAATGGTCTCAATACCATTTTCTCGTAACCATTTTAACCAAAATGCACAGTCTTTATTAGTAAGAATATCATCTTTGTTTCGTGCCTTCAAAAGTTGTATTTCACTTACAAATTCGTCCTTTGATAAATCAAAATGATTTGTCAATAAATTAATGTCATCTTTGCTCAATTCAAATTTTAACATTTTCCCCACACCAGTAATGATTGAAGTGCTTTCTTGATTAAAACGTTCGTCACATCCTTGTACTAACGAATCAATCAATGGATACATTGTAGAAACTCGGATTTCCTCTTTCTTGGTCTCAAATACAAACTGATTTTTCCAATTTTCATCTCTACGTGCAGGCAGTTTTCTAGGTCTGACTGATGGTATGTTTACGCCATGTTCTTCACAAATATGCTGACTTTGATCATAAATATCATCATAAAATAAACTATCGGAACGCATATTTTCTATTGCCAAACAAAGACACTTAATCTCTTCCAAAGCTGTCAAAATACTTAATCCGGGATCTTGAAGTACTCTACTAACTTTTACAATCAACTGTAGAATAGGATGCATCAGTTCGAGACAGATGATAAAATTAAAATTTAAGCATTGGGAAATAATACCCTTTCCTTTAGGTTTTATTTCTGGTTGCTTAGTTGAATAATTTATTTCATTAACTGTCTGAATTATAACCGAGAAGTTGTCTCGAATTGCTGTTACAGCTTCTGCCCTACAAGCCCATTTAGTTGTTGAAAGGGATTTTAAAGTCTTTAATTTTACACCAACACTTTTTTGAATTTTTTCAAAAACCGCGTGTCGAGATGGACTGCCTTCAATAAAATTGTATATTATTTGAACTGTTCCAAAAAAATCAAAAATCATACTATTCTCTTTACGCGAAATGCAAGAATCTACAAGTACAAGGTTTAAGCAATGAGCAAAACAGTGTACGTATAATATTTTAGAGTTTTTTTCTTTACATCGGGACTGAACTCCAGAAATATGACCTGCCATTGCGGCTGCGCCGTCGAAACAAACGGAAGAAACAGAGAGCCAATCGAGTTTTAACTTATGGACTATTGTGTTTAAAACATTAAAAATGGATTGTGCATCAGTAGTTTCTAGACGCTGCAGAGAGATGAATAATTCGATAGGTTTATTTTCTACATCATCAAAATATCTTACTACGATTGCCATTTGCTCAATGTGACCACAGTCACTGGTCTCATCAGCCATAACTGCAATCTGTTGACCATTTAACCTCTTGCATATTTCTTGAAACATCACATTATGAACTGAGGCTATTAATTCATTTTGAATCTTTCCACTCAAATATTGTGCGTTCTTAGGACCATGTTCTAAATGATTTATTATAATAGGATCGTATCGTTTGAGTAGATCTACGATTTCTAAAAATAGTCCTTTATTCACACTATCTTCATGCTCAAGATGTCCTCTGAATGAACATCCGCTTTTGGTTAATATAATTATAACATCAATTAAACGTTTGATGATATCCCGGTTTCCTAAACGTATTTTTTCACGAGCTGCTAATGTGATTTCTTTTTGTTTATCCAACTTAACATCAATGGGTATTCCTTTTTTTAAATTTTCCCACGATATCACACTATCAATATGACATTGTGACTTCTCGTGTAGTCTAAAAGCTTCAGTGGCACCTTTCCAATTAGTAAAACCTTTCTTTATAAACGATTGATCGATATGACCTTTTTTAATTATATTATTCGAAGAGAATGCTCGACAACAAAAACAAAATGCTGCGTTTATACTTTCACTGTATTCTAACCATTTAAAAGTTTCGTACCATGATTTTTGAAAAGAACGAAATCGATCCCCGAATTTTACTCTCGGATAAAGAGATAAGTGGACTTGGCAGGGCCGCGTATTACCAAACCCCATAGTGCCCTAGCGCCTTTTATAAATAACCCACACTCATTGGTTCATTTGAAAACCGCGCGTAAATATAATAAGAACTTTTATCAATTATTATAAAATATTATCATTTATTATTATCAACTATCATTTGAAAACCGCGCGTAAATATAATTCTATATGAATATTAATTATATTAAGAAAAATACTTATAATAGTATAATGAGTATAATATATATTATTGTATAGTAGGTACTATTTTATAGTAAATTGTATTGTAGTAGTAATATTTTTTAATAATTAATAATTAGTACTTAATATAATATATAGTACTTCTTAATATAAGTCCCATAGGTAGAATAGAAAATTAAATTTTCATAATTTATTTATTATATCAAAATATTAAAATACTTTCATGTTCTTATATCTTTTATTACCTTTATTATTATACTTATTGTATATTACCTATTTAACTACAGCTCAAAATATTATAACAATCATCATCAATTTTGTTTTTTATTTTTGTATGTACCTATATCATGTCTAATCATAATATGTTTTTTTTAACTTTTATAATTTATTTACTACAGCATACTTTTATTAAAATTATAAATAATGTTTATATTTGCAAAAAATGCAATATACCTATATAATAGAATATGAAATTACTTTTGAAATCTAAAAAGTGTAATTTTATGGAAGCATTTCATTCAATTACAAAATTAACATTAATATTCTTTACCTCAGTAAACTGGCCACTGGGTGATGAATTTGTTTGTGTTATTGATGTTAACGAGTTAACTAATTTTATGAGTAATATAAATTATATATTATTGTGTAATATATTATATAATATTAATACTAGAGAACTCAAAGCATAGAATATAATAGGAGCGACAGCTAACAAAATTCTTTTGTTGTTCAAAGATAGGTTGGTAGTTACATTTTTTAACAGCCATCTTCCAACAAACCTAAATAATATATTTTTAATTTTAAACTTTTATACTTTAAACTTTAAATATGTAACATTAGAACTGGGTACCTATATATTTTTACTATAATAATAATAAACCTATGCAATAAAACATAAGATCCAACAATATTGAAATATTATAAACAAATTAAATGTATTTATACACACTTAATCATAATTTGGAAAAAATCTGTTATTTTATTCTTTTAAAATAATAAAAACTGTTGAGTTGTATAAAATTAAAATTCAAAACCATTAGGTATTAAATAATTGTATAACATTTTACAATTTACAAATATTTTAAATTATAATTGTATTAAAATGAAACGCACATCAGATCTAATGATTTTTGCCATGATTTTTGGCATTCATTTGATTTTGAGCCACATTATATCGCAAGTTATGTGGTCTTTTTTTTGTAATGTTTTTTCCATGATCAGATGGTCTTCTACCAGCATTTATCTTCCGAGATCCACGTGTAACTCCTATTTTACGACGACTTATTGATGTTGGCTGTACTTTTATCTGACCTTTCCTCCTGTTTATATTGGAAGATGCACTACTCAGTGAACACATTAAGTTAGCAAATTGAGATGTATTTTTTACATGACTTAATCTGTTTCCTATTCTTTTAAGTATTGATGGTGGTAATGTTTGTATCATATTCTGTAATCTTTTCCATTCATTTTGAACATATTCTACTTCTGTATTTAAACTATTATTAATGTTATTAGGACAATTATTGTGTATATGAGACTCTTCAATAGTTGGACATTCTATATTCTGTAAATCATTTGATGATTCAATAGATGTTATGTCATTTGATGTATTCTCCAATATTTGAACATCTTTATCAATATTTTCTATATCTTCTGACTTAGATACGATTGATACATTTTCTTTTAACCCTAAAAAAAATGTTGGTTTAGGGCATTTACTACTTCCTAAAGCTAACATGGCAAGTGCATGGCGTTCTTCTAATGTGACAGCTGGTGCGTTTGGAAGTTGTGATTTTATGTTTTTATGTATCCATGCTTGGTGTTTACAAAATGATCCGGTATGTCCCATTTTGCATGTACAAACTCCATTATCTATATTCACTAAATATGTCTCACTTATATTGCTTACACTTGGAATAACATAGGTGGATTCATTTAATTTTTTTATATCACTAATATTAATATCAATCATTTTAGAACATAATTTTGTATATAATCTTTGGGTTTCTAAATGTCTACCATGTGCATGATTAAGTATCCGGAGAGTGAAATACTCTTCACCAACTGACATAATAAAATCAAGAAGTGCAACAACATTGTACGCTTTAGTTCTATTTAATAATATATCCTTCATAATTCGAATTGATGCTTCAGCATAATTATTTGTATCATGATTCCGATAAATAATCTTTGATCTATGATAACGAACCCACTGTTCCTGCCTTTTACAGTTATTCTCAAATCGCTTTATAAAATTAACTGGGGCTTCTTTTTTAACACGAGCTTCAATTATTTGAAAGTCATTTTTTGATTCAGAATACATTGCCTAAAAATAAAAAAGCTTTTATTAGCCAATAGGTATATAATTTAAACTAGGTACCTATATAATGTATTGTAATTATAACCTAATTAATATGAATTTAGTAAAACGTTTATTGATTGGTTTGTTGTATTGTAATTCAATAAGCTAACTGAATTGTGAACATCAAAATTAAATATTACCGATTGAAATAGCTTCATTAATGGCATACGGTTAGAAAGATTAATTCCATTTTTGGAATCGTGAAGCCATCGCCACTCTGCTTGTGCCATGTGAAAATTACAAAGAAATTGATTTGCCTTTGGCCATAGTCTTAGTAATGCATTTTTTTCAGCAGTGGAATCATCAGTCATAAAAACTAGTGGAACCTGAAGTATTTATTACACTATTAGGTATTTTTTAAGATATTAATTACCTAATAATAATTGATGAAATCATATATTATTATATTAAGTTATATCTTGTACAACTATTACATATAGATACAAGTTTGTAAATAACTTACTTAAAGTTGAAACCTTAAGTTTAAAATAAGCAACTGATTATATAGGCATAAAGGTTATAAATCAAAAAGAAATGAGGTAAGGACCAATAAAACTAAAATAATAATAGTCTAGCTTAGTTTTACTTTTAACGCATTAGTATCTACCTTTTTAAATAAATAATAAATATCATAGTTATGCTTTACCTCATGGCCACCAAAGCTTAAAGGGAAATTGTAAATGCCCCAATATAACTGTTCTCAGATTGGCCTTCGTGGATTACAACAGCTAAAGGGATTGCTCCAGCTTTTGATGGGGTTAATATATTGGTAACCGTACTATTAGTTGTATCTACACTGCTAGTTGAATCTATAAAAATTATTTCACTTGAACATTTAAGCTCCTGTGCTCTCTTCATAATTGGCGTAACAATAATAACAGCCCATGGGTTATCATGTTTTATTGAAACATGAACTCCTGCAATAGGTAAGTGAAATAATTTTAGGTAAGTATATAATATGTGTACCTATTATGGTATATGAACTTTATTTACTTTTTGATAATTGATAAAACAATGTTTGAAAATATTTATTTAATATGTTCAAGTGCATGTTAAGTGTTAACTAAAAATGTAATACTTTAATGTAATATGTTTACATATTATATTAAGTTATACATCAATATCTGATATATTTAATGTACTTAATATAGGTACCTATGTATTCTTAATATAATGATTTCAAAGTTAGACAACAAAAATATTGATTAAAACAATTATTATTTAATATTTACAAATAATTAGAGATTAAATTTATTTCTTAATCTATAATTAAAGTATAAAACACTAAATTATAGGTACCTATAATTTATACCAAAAATAACCCTTATACTTTATAATATAATAAGCATCCAATATTAGAGAACCGTAATATAATAGTATTTAAATATATTACGTATACAATAGTAGGTATACATCTCATTACACTTACCCTTCTCATTGTAAAGTCCAATTTTTTCTTCCAATTTTGAAAGTGGAGCATGCACAGGTCCAAAATTTATTTTCCTCCACTCGTCATGTAGGTAGTATAAATGCCTCATTGTCGGATTTATACTACTATTAGCAAGCAGCATACAAGAAGCGTCTTGTAGAAACAATTTGCTTTCGTGCAAACTTCTAGCTTCACTGGGCGATAAGCCATTTTCAAAGTACTCAATAAATATATTGTCAGTCTGAAAAAAGTTATTGTAAAGTACATTTTTGTTCCATACCTAGTCTTATACTATTTATACTTAATATAATATTATATATTACACAATAATAAATTATATAATAATACTTTATAATTATACTCATACAATTAGGGATCTATACTATTATAGAGTTCATAAGGAAGTTTTTATTAACATTTATATTACTTAATAAATAAATAATTACCTCATTTTTTGTTCTCAAATATTTTAAAGCATCACATGAATCCACTGGATGGTTGTGATTCCAAAAAATTTTTACTTTGGCCGAAAGTGAAGGCGCATATTTTAGGTAGGGGTCATTCTTCCTGGTATTTTTATTATTTTTTTTTATCAATATGTCTATTGTTGACTTACAATTAGTATTACGTTCTGTAATTTTAGTAATACTTTTATTTTTTGATGAGTGATGACAAATAAAATATTTGTGAAAAATAACCCTACAAAATTAAGTTTTTATTATAACTGTTTAATTTTTTTAATAAACTAGACAGTACACTTTACATAAATATTATGTTTGTTATGTCTTACTTAGTAGGATTTTGTAATTCAGATTGAAATATATATGATGTATTAGTCAATGTAGAAAATAAATCTAAAAACTTTTTGGCTGAACTACTATCATAAATATTAGTTCTAATTACAAACTTTTGTGATTCGACACAAGACTCGTTAACATCAATAACACACACATATTCATCACCCAGTTTACTGAGGTAATCTTTTAAAGAATTAATGTTCATTTTGAAGTTTAATGAAATGCTTCTATAAAATTACACTGTTCGGATTTCAAAAGTAATTTCAAATTGTATTATGCATTTATGCAAATAGAAAAATTATTTATAATTCTAATAATAGTATGCTATACTAAACGATAAAAGTTAAAAAACATATGATTAGATATGAGATACAATATTAAAAACACAGAAGTAATGATAATTGTTAAAATATTTTGAGCTGAAGTTAAATTGGTAGTATGCAATAAGTTCAATAATAAAAATAATAAATATATACATGATGATTTCCATTTTGATATGGATGTGTTTAATATCATTGCATTTAACATAATAAAAAAAAAAAGTTAAATTAAAAATATTATATAGGTTATTTAACTTTAAAATATTAACATAAATAACTTAACAGAATATAAATATTTAATGGAAACATGTTGCACAGTTTGAAAATTAATTGTAAAATAGATCCATGTTATTAACCATGTTGACTACTGACATTAATAAATTTAATGGTGAATAACAGTTTTTCAGATGGTAAAATTAAAGTTGAGCTGACGGTAGTATGTCATTTAAACAATAAAAAATAATTTGAATGGGACTGAAAAGAGTTGGTATGTATATTTTGTGTTGGATTAAAGAATAAAGTGTGTAATTTGTAAACAAAAGATGTAAGAAGTGTTACAAAATACTGTTGTAATTTTAGTAGGTAAACGCATAATTACATCAATGATAATTAACTTACATACTGTAACATGTAATAGTCAAAGTCTGCACCACTAAATTGATGTATAACATTGGTTTGCTTAGTTTCACTTTTATTCATAGACACATTATAAATAATGTTTAAAGAATAAATAAATAAATTATGAAAATTTAATTTTCTATTCTACCTATTGTGACTTATTAATAGGGTACCTAGTGTTAATGATTAGTTATTAAAAAATATTACTAGAACCAAACATTTATTATGTTATTACATTTTTAAATCAAATATAATATATACACAATAATATATAATTTATATTACTCATAAAATTAGTTAACTCGTTAACATCAATAACACAAACAAATTCATCACCCAGTGGCCAGTTTACTGAGGTAATCTTTTAAAGAATATTAATGTTAATTTTGTAATTGAATGAAATGCTTCCATAAAATTACACTTTTTAGATTTCAAAAGTAATTTCATATTCTATTATATAGGTATATTGCATTTTTTGCAAATATAAACATTATTTATAATTTTAATAAAAGTATGCTGTAGTAAATAAATTATAAAAGTTAAAAAAAACATATTATGATTAGACATGATATAGGTACATACAAAAATAAAAAACAAAATTGATGATGATTGTTATAATATTTTGAGCTGTAGTTAAATAGGTAATATACAATAAGTATAATAATAAAGGTAATAAAAGATATAAGAACATGAAAGTATTTTAATATTTTGATATAATAAATAAATTATGAAAATTTAATTTTCTATTCTACCTATGGGACTTATATTAAGAAGTACTATATATTATATTAAGTACTAATTATTAATTATTAAAAAATATTACTACTACAATACAATTTACTATAAAATAGTACCTACTATACAATAATATATATTATACTCATTATACTATTATAAGTATTTTTCTTAATATAATTAATATTCATATAGAATTATATTTACGCGCGGTTTTCAAATGATAGTTGATAATAATAAATGATAATATTTTATAATAATTGATAAAAGTTCTTATTATATTTACGCGCGGTTTTCAAATGAACCAATGAGTGTGGGTTATTTATAAAAGGCGCTAGGGCACTATGGGGTTTGGTAATACGCGGCAGGGCCCTTTGAGTCATTTTGAGTGTCTTTCTAAACGATCAGATGGTAATGGTAAAGCTGGGTCATTATGTTCAATGAAAGATGTTTGCAACTTCAAATTTTCGGATTTCAAATGATCAGAAGGCAATGCAATTGCTGTGGTATTTTGAACTTCAACAGTTTTTATATTGGAATTTACTGATTCCTTGTTTGGACTTTTTCGGATAATATATCTAAAAACCAACCAATATATAGATTTTAGAATATATTATGCCTGTCCTAGACAATTCTGTATATTATTAAACAATTTATAAAATATATTTATTATATTGTTATTATATATTGTATATTTATTATATTATATTTAATATTGTTTATTATATGTTTTATATTGTAATATGGACAAGATTAGAATCAATATTAGTTTATACAATTTTATAACTAGGGCGCGGATTTTTATGTAATAAAAGTCAAAATATGTTAATATTTATGATTTTTTTTTTTTAGCAAAATATGTATTAAAAAACTTGAAATATATTTTTTTTTTTTTTTTTGTTAGTAATATAATATAATAGAACTAGTAATTCAATTGTGAACAACTGTGCAAAATTAATAAGTAATAAATAATGAATAATAATGCTACATTTTACATTTATGTTACATATATTGTACTGTTTTATTATCAATAACACTAAAAATAAAATAATTAAAATGGTTTTTACTATAAAATGATTGTAGTTCTTAAAAGGCTTAACTACTGCTGTTAGTCTGTATGCAATAAGCGAGTTGGTGCACATAAAAATAGGGCCTGCTAGATAATAAATACCTAGGTCTTACATCTAGTAATGCTTTAGTATACAATTAATTAAATTTAACACTTAAAATAAATATAAAATTAATAACTTACTTGTACATTTTGCTAACCATGCATCTGTATCCTCAGTCCGTTCACCAGTAGGTATGGTCGTCAAATAAACAAAAAATATTAAACTATTTAAACTAATAACCTTATAATGTCTATATTTGGATTATTCGATAAACGATAATAAAAAAAAAAAGATAAAACCCGTAGGTATACTGAACGTATGAACAATGAAAATAATACGGCGAGACTCGCAGTGACATTTTCTAAAAATAAATATCAATAATTTAAAAACTTTTGATAATGATTTGATTTTGATGACCAGCTGTAATACTACTAAATATATTTTTAACATTTGAACTATTCTATTTATTACGTACAGTTAATTTCTCAATTTTCTTTTACATTTATATCTAATTTTTTTATTACATTTAAAACAATAGATTCTTAGCAAATGTATACATTAACACGGAACCAATTAGCCTGGGCCATGGCCCAGTTGGCCCAGGCCGTAGTTCCGCCTATGCGTTTAAATACATAGGTATGATATTGGTTGAAAGGTGACGAAAAAGGAATTTTTTTATCTCGATAATGTTTATAACAATAGTAGTTATAATTCATAACATCGTGTGTGTGGATTGTACAGGGTGGAGCGTAAAAAACGCATGGTTTTCATTATTGAATAACTGGGACATGGTTTGATAAAAATAAGTAACACAAGCGTTAAATGATAGATATTTTAATGCCATTTTAGAATATACATGTTTTAATTAAGTTCGAAAAATAATGTCTTGAAGATGACGTCCTTCTTGATTGATACAAATTTGGATCCTCTCCTGAAAGTTGCGCACGGCTGTCTCCAACATTTCATTCGGCACGGCTTCAATTTCCTGACGAATGGAATTCTTCAGATCATCGATTGTGCGAAGCTTGTTTATGTAGACTTTTGACTTTAAATATCCCCACAAAAAGAAGTCGCATATCGATAAATCGGGTGAGCGAGGAGGCCAGTGAACATCACCATATCTTGAAATAACATGTCCTGGGAACATTTGTCGAACGACTTCCATGGATGCTCTCGCCGTGTGAGCTGTGGCACCGTCCTGCTGAAACCATATTTCTCTCATGTCCACTTGACGCCTTTCAAGTTCTGGACGAAGAAAATTGTTTAACATTTCAACGTAGCGGACTGATGTCACAGTAACTGCAGTTCCTTCCTCTTCAAAAAAATAGGGTCCAATAATGCCCATCTTTGAAATACCGCACCACACTGTTACTTTTAAACTGTGGAGAGGTCTTTGGTGTAATTCATGAGGGTTCTCCGACGCCCAATACCGACAATTTTGAACATTTACGTAACCGTTTAGGTGAAAATGTGCTTCATCAGTCATGAAAACTGTAGCATCTCCATTTTCCGTATAAATTTCGTCCATTAAGCGACAAAACTCTCTGCGCTGCACAAAATCCCCTTCCTTAAGCTGCTGGACAATCATTATCTTGTACGGGTGAAACTTAAGGTCGTTACGTAAGATGCGATGAAGCGAACGACGAGACATACCCAGTGTTACAGCATGTCGTCTGGCCGATCGTCTTGGACTAACAAAAAATGCCGCTCTTACTCGGTCTACATTTTCAGGAATTCGAACTGAATGGGGAGTACCAGGTGGCTTTTTTTTCATCACTGATCCAGTTCTTCTAAACCCTGCAACCCATCGGTGTACAGTATTTCTATCAGGCACTGCACCTCGACGACCAATTCCAAAATTTCGACGAAAAAGACGTTGAACTTTGACTACGGAATCATTGTTTCTAAAATACTGCTCTACAACGAACACACGATGCTCTACGTTCCAACGCTCCATAGCGACTGAAACGGCATTGGCTGGGCCGTCTACCAACATTCGTTCGAGGTCAATAAACCCTCCCGTTACCGTGTACTAGTGGTTCAAAAACTATGCGGTTTCTACGCTCCACCCTGTATATAACTTTATTTTTGTGTCGTCCGCTAACGACGATAGAAACACGACTCACCGCTAAAAACCACAAAAGATAACAATATAACTTAAGTTATATAAAAATATTATTATACTACTGTGATTCAAAATACTATTTTGTACACTGCATTTTATATGATGTCCATAAAGGGAACTATATTTTATCAAAACTCCATCCATGGACAGGCGATGGCCATAAATGGATGTTTATAGAGCTCCCTCAATGACCACTCGCATATTTTTATATTTCACTTACCTAGTTATCACTAACTTACTAATAAATTACTGTTTTAAGTAACATTAGGAAAATGGATCCAAAACCAAATACCAATACCTAAAATAATGTTCTCCACCAAAAGTTAAACAAGCATTGGATGCAATTTGCTAAGGTATATTGATGTAGGCATTGATTAAATAAATATTTGAAATAATGTTTTTGTATTATTAATGAGTTGATCAGCAGCAAGAAAGATGTATAATGTACCCCGTACCACAGCAAGAAATAAGCTTGAAGGCAAGTCACCAACTGAGTTGATAGGACATGGTGGAGTATCACCCATACTTGGAGATGACATTAATAACTCATTGGCAGACTGGGTGCTAACTTGTACAAAAATGGGATTTAATATAGATCGAGAGGGACCTCATTTAAAAAACAGTCCAGTCAAAAAAGATGTTTTGCCATGCCAAAAATACTAAAGTTTTGTTTTGGGGCCCTGATTGATGAAAAAAAATGCGCCATCCCTCCGAGGTCCGGCATCTTGGATTTTAGTTGAAATTTTAAGTTCTATACATTTTTAGCTCAAGAGTAATAGATAAGCGACAGTCTAACGGCCATCGTAGAGTGTGTTTTCTTTTTAGGGTCTCATACATTTTTTTATTTGCTTGGCGTGTGCCTCGCTATATAGGGAGTAAGGGCCCAGTGGCTTACGCAGGATTTTTTGAAGGGGGTGTCATAAATCATAGTTATATGCATGAAGTGACCTTTTTTTTTTTTGCTCATCCCTCTATTTCAATAAGAATAAAACTTTTATATATATATATATAGTCATAGTTACAAAATAAATATTTAGTTTAGTTATTAAATAAAGTCAGTACGACTTGTCATTTTGAATTTTATGCGCATGGGACAATCAGACAATCAGTTTAATGATATTGGTTTATCAGGAAAATTGAACGTTCTTAATTTTATAGTATTAGAAGAAGAAGATTAGACTAGGTATATTATGTACAACATAAGTGGTGAATTATAATTTGAAGATTAGGAATGCTATGATTAAAAGTTTTTAATAGGAGAGTAGAAACAACATCTTTGAAGAAGATGAACATACTAACAATTTTAAACTTCCTAAAAACTCTGATATCGAGCAAAAGCCACAGTTCAACAAAGACCGATCCATACAACCTACAATAGAACATTTTCTAATTTACATTTGGACTTAGAAAAATTATACAAAAGAATTATGCCTAATGGAAGGGAAATCTCTAGAAATTGGTTATCCCCCCCAAGTTGAAAATAAAAAAAGGTGGGCAAGTGGGTGTCGCTCTGCTGTACAGTAGGTTACAAGTGGGTCACTGTATAATGGATGGTATTAAATTTGAATTCAATGATATAATATCATTGTATAAGAAAAACGATTCTGAGCGGTGATGGTATGTCAGTCTATGTATAAGGCATATTATATACATAATATCTATGGTATTAAACAAAAAATTGACCTATAATAGGTACCTATAATAAATTCCAAATTAATCATATCACAATATCCATTAGATACTTATAACGCGTTATACATCAACAAAAACCGTGATACTATCATAGATATATAATAGTACACTTTAGAAGTTTCAAGTACCCACGAATAATATTATTCAATCACAACAAAATAACTAAAATCGTAATTCTTGGTTTAAATATGAAATTTTGTCTAAATTTGAAATTAAAATGTCTGTAAAAAATAAGTGTGTTTATATATTTTTTAGATTTTTTGGTTACAGTATGAATTATTTAAGAGAACCTTTGTTTTAAATTTTCAACTCTTAGTTATAAAAACTGAACATTTTATAATTTTTTAATTCCAACGATTGATAATTTTCGAGATTTTGATAAATTTTGTCAAAATTCCAACTTTAAATGCTTATAAAAAAAAACTGTGCCTATGTATTTTTAATATTTTTCAACTGCTATTGTAACAATATATCAGGAGCCTTGTCTTAAATTTAAAAAAAAAATTGACCTATAATAAATTCCAAATTAATCATAACACATTATCACAATATCCATTAGGTACTTATAACACGTTATACATCAACATCAAAAACAAACCCTGATACTATCATATATATATAATAGTACACTTTAGAAGTTTCAAGTAGGTACCCCGTACCCACGAATAATATTATATAATCACAACAAAATAACTAGGTTTTTTAATATGAAATTTCATCCAAATTTGAACATAAAATGACTATAAAAATAAACTGTGATAGTATATTATTTAGATTTTTCGGTAAGATAATTAACTACTTACGTGGAATCTTGTTTTAAATTTTCAATCCTTAGCTATAAAAACTGAACATTTTATAACTTATTAATTACGATGATTAATAAATTTCGAGATTTTGAAAAATTCTGTCAAAATTCGATGTTTAAATGCTTATAAAAAAAAATTGTGCCTATGTATTTTTAATATTTTTCAACTGATATTGTAACAATATATCAGGAGCCTTGTATTAAGTTTTTACACTTTTTGGCCCAACAGATAAAACTTTATTGATATTTATAGAAAAAAAAACTAAACAAAATTGAAAGCTGTAAATGTCCATAAACAGCTCAAAAAGAGTCAAAATATTTTCACAATTGTATGGTGTATAGGAAATGCTAATATAAACATTCAGTGAAATTTTCATGTATCTACAGTTATTCGTTTTTGAATTACAACAAAATAAGGAAATCGCTACATGAGAAATCGAGTGAAAATCCAATGTTGTAAAAATTTGAATTTCAAACGCTCATAAAAATTTAATTTGACTGTCCGGTAGAGATTTTTTTATTGATAAGGGTAGATAATCTTATAAGGAATCTTGTGTTTCATTTTCAAATCTTAGATTTAAAAAGAAAAATTTTTGCGAATTCTTAACTCAAAATAATTTGCTAATTTTCGTGATTTTTCCATATTTTGTCAATTTTTGAACTTTAAATGCATATAAAAAAAATTGTGACTAAGGTTTTTTAATATTTTTCATCTGCCTTTGAAACAACATATTAGGAGCCTTCTATTAAATTTTCAAGCTTTTGCAACCAACAAATAAAATTTTATTGATATTTTTAGAAAAAAAACTAAAAAAAAATGGAAAATGAAAATGTCCCTAAACAGTTCAAAATAAATCAAAATATTCTGAAAATGTTATCGTGTATAGAAAATGCAAATATTAACAACCAGTGAAAATTGCATGTATATACGTTCATTTGTTTTAGAGTTACACCAATAACCAAAATCGATTTTTTGGAAAACCAATTTTGCGTAAAAATTCCCGTTTTTCCTTAATTTTTATGTTGTTTTTCCCGGCGCTTGTGAAAACTACTGGGAAATTTATACTTTTGACCCCCCAAAGTACCAACTAGATTCACTTTCCTATCAGAAAAGCTACTGATGAAGAAAATCCAAGCACTTTTACTGTCCTAAAACGTGATGACAGACACAAAAATATAAAAATATAAATAAAAATATAAATAAAAACATACATCATTGTAAAACCAATACATTCATCGCTCCGCTCAGAATCTAAATATTGGCTATCTACTGTCACATTTGTATAGTATTTTCCGCATCACAATCACCTTTTGCTTCAGGATACACACAATTTACTCATATTCACATTTCTATAAAAAAAAAACCGAACATAGTGTAGGTTAGGTTAGGTTATCCTGTTTTCCTGTTTACAAAATGTCTACCAGAAGGAGTGCTTCAATTTCAACATATATTATCTTATCTTGCTGACTCACGTCCTCTCGGTGATTTGAGTGTAGTAGTATAGTGTCTCTAGTAAACGTAGTCGTTTTCTTTATTAAAGTCATACTCAAATTGGCCCAACAAAGATAGATATTTATTTTAGATTCTGAGCGGAGCGAGGAAGTGAGTGGTTTTACAATGGTGCTTATTTTTTTTCATCCTGTATATAAAATTTCAAAATTTCTACCAGAAGGAACTCTTTGATTTCAATATATAGTAGGTATCTTATCTTTTAGAAAATTAGCTCACAATGGTACTTTTAAGAGGTAATTTTTTGAATTTCTCAATAGTTATTTAATGAAAGGGAAAAAACCACCAACAAATTACAAAAAACTGCTAAAATGGGATTGTAATTTCTAACGCTTTGTTTATCACAATAGAAACGAATAAAAATAATGATTTTATAGTGTTTTAGATTTGACAAAATAGTGTGTACCGAAATTCCACTGGCACTGGGCGAGTGTTGCACTAGTTTTTTTATAAATCGAATACATTTTTGTGTAATCATGGAAAACAAAATATATTGACATGGAAAGAAATACAATCACTGGATTTTGGAAAAGTGTTCTTATCTCACTGCTTTTTATGATAATGAAATAGGTATAATCATTGATTATAAATACTACATATTTATAATACTATTATAACATTGGAATAATTAAAAACAGTATTTGATATTTGCTACAATTCCGATTCCGATGTTGAAAGCGTTGAAACGTTTGACGTAAGTAATTTTCATAAGTAGGTAGAGTTTTAAATTTCTAAACATCTCTCCCAATTAATGTATTATGTTATATCAGATGGTTATTCAAAGCTGTATGTGTCACATAAAGGTATAAAGCCTATTATGTAGTCATGTAGAGGTGCATACCTAGTGTATAATTTAAATAGTTGGTGTACTGAAAAATGATTAAATGTGCAGTTTTTTGTATCCATTTTGCTAGGGTTCTTGAATTTAATTTCATAGACTTTTCGATAGTTTACTTTCTAAAATTACTGCTGATAAAAGTCTTAATTGGGGGCATCCTGAAGTAACTTAAATGTGTTTTGAAAATATACTATAGATTTTGACATGATTTATAGAATATGCATGTATATGTTTGACTTCTGTGACTATTCTTCAATTTAAAATGTGTTCTGTGAACAGAGGGGATTAACATATGGGCTAAAATATTTGGTCATAATATTATATGGGGCCAGAGTGGCGCAGTGGTCACGCAGTTGACTACAACTCACACAGTCATCGGTTCGATTCATAGCTCAGTGCAAAATAAATTTGTGTGGTTCTACGCGATCACCATTTCCCCCCTGCTGTCCGATTGCGTCATCTGGTTTCCAACTAGGTCCCACTCCACTGGGAGCGAAGACCGCACATGCCTCCTCTTGCAGGAGAAGGGGGGTAGTATCATGCATATAGTGATATATACATAGATAAATAGATCACATGATCTCCCTACTACCCACTTGTGATAGGCATTGACGAAGACCTAGAGGTCGTTTCAAAGAACAAATAATAATAAAAAACAAAAAATAATATTATGTCTTGTTATGTTCTATTTAATAAATAATATATATTTATAGATTCTTAAAATATACATTATAATATTGTGTTTACAGAGAATACTACAATGACTATTTTAAATAGTGCTTGGACAGACGAAAATACAAGTTTTATTTTAGAATGTT